CATCAACATGAACGAAAATGTCCCGTTACGTCTAGTCTCTGCCTGAGTAATTCTCTCTTACGTACGTTTGTACAGGTTTTAATAATAATACGAGTAAAATACTCCATCTTTCTTAAGCTTTGCCTTCTTATTCTCACCCTTAAGCATAACATTATTATAGGAAGGATTAACATGACTCAAGTTGAGCTTGGGCAAGAAAAGATTATTAAAATCATTATTGGTGGCGAGGGGGGAGCAACTTAAGTTTAGTGGGTACGGGTGCATTAAATATGTGGTAGGTACATAGTTATATTGTGGTAGTGTAAAAGTACCTTCAGCTACCTACCTATAAAGGAAACCTAGACCTTCAACTTAAAAATCCTCAAGTAATAATATTCAACATTTAGTTGGTATCGGAGCAGTGGCAGGATTGAGCTGGCTGGTTGAGGTTGGAACGGGAGTTGTAACGGGTTCTCATTCTTTTTGCCTCTTCAAACATTTCATACGTACGTATGTGCATACACCTTCAAGATTGGACGGTGTGGGGTTTGAAGTAACCCTTGAAATTCAAATCCTTTCTGAGATGGGATGCATTCAAGTAATGATGAATTTGATCAAGGGTTAGGGAGAAGAATTTTGGCCTTTTTTGGGAAAAAGGGTTTCGTTTCAATTTCCGTAGATTTGAAAACTTTAGATTTAGATTTCCGCCCAAACTGAGATTTTGGTATAAAAAATGATTTTACGGTATTTGCGCTTTGCAGATTGAATTACCAGGAACATCTTTTATAATGAAAAATAGTTAATTAATAAGTATGTACGCGTGTAGCTTGAGAAAATTGAGAAGAAATGATTGCTATCCAAAATAAAACCGTACAGTAACATTTCATCAAATCTGAAATCTGTGTGTTGTTTGTTACTTACTTTATTCTTAATGAACGCACTACTCTGTTCGAAATATGCTCCATTTGATACCAATTTTTTACAAATTGTTAATCCCCAATCAATTATAAAATTCCTCCATCAACCGTACAACCACGTGTAGCTACATAGATCAACGTTTCGTTTATCGTGATGTCCATCATTTAATAATAAATAATGATCCCTCTCCCACCACCCTTATTGCATCACCAACCCACTATTTGTAACTAACCATGCATGCATTCTCTCCCATTGCTGCATTGATCTCAGTCCAAGAAACTGAATCCCGTTATGGTTTCCACCATTCTTTTTCCTCTGCTTCGTTAGTTGATGTTCTGGCCGGCTGGTGGGAAGAAGAAGAAGGTATTGCATTGTTGATTGATGACTGTTATGAGCCAGCGAGTGAGCGAGGCATTGTTGAACAAGACAAGAAACGTGTAAAGATGATGCGTTTACGATTACCCTTTCCCATCGTCATCATCGCAGTTCGTCTTCTTCCTTAGGATTTCGATCCCCCGTGTTATATTGTATCCAATCCATTATTTTATGGCGTGGGATGATTGAATCCTACTGCACACACGAATCCGACAAGGATATCGATTTACCCTTAAAAAATACAGTTTTTTCAACCATTTCGGTTTAAAGCTTTGTTTTATTTTTTGTTTCTTGTTTGTGGAAAAGACGAGGTAAATTAACAAAAAAATTATATACCCTGTAAGTAAGTAAAGGGTGAGAGAGATTTTAGTGAAGGGTATACATACACACACGAAATATTTGGAAACACGGAATTGGTAACACATTTACTAGATAGTGGATGAACAAGGCCTGCTTCTGCCGATGGTGGGAAGAACCCTTTTTACTCTTGATACCGTTTTGTGGATAAAGTGTTTGTGTCGGAAATGTGATCACTTTGTGAAAAAGTGTGGAGATGATGATGATTATGACGGTGAGGGCCTTAACAAATTACTAATGAGGTTATAAACTCTGACGATTTATGTACCTCTCCATCCAGTCATGGGATAATTTATTCCATTATTGGCGCAAATTTATGGCAGTATTATTGACTGACACTGTGTAAGAAAAGAATGGGATAAAATGCAAGTTGCACTCGTTACGTAAGAACTTTGCACTTCATGGTAGAAAGGTCTGCTTGCAAAATTTGATCCAATCAATTTATTACTTTGTGCTACCACTTATCTTGATCCATGCATGTACATTTATGCAACAACGTTACTCATTTAGTCTACGAGGCGGTGGCGTGGCGTGGCCTGCCAAAATGTGTGCGAGATGAGATGACGCGGACAAATTAGAAGCGACACAAGTCAACAACATTACACTTCAGATGAGCATTGGGGTCATTAAATTATAAAGTAAAATGCAGTTTGTTGCTTCACTTGGTGTGTCGTGTCGTGTTGTCCAGGCGGTTTCATCGTAATGAAAGGTTTCAACTTTTGCATGATGTTGTTACTTGAGCTTTCTTCCTCCTCCTCCTCCTGCTGCTGCTGCTGCTTTGCGAATAGCTGAGTATTTATGTACGAATTCCCGAGAGAGTGAGTTAATGACCTGACATGCCAATAACTGCCTAAGCCATGCACGGTATACAGAGAGAAAGCTACCAGAAGGGGTAGTTGGTTAGTTAGTTAGTTAGTTGGTGAGTGAGTGGTGTTGAATTGCGCTTCATAAATATCAAAGCGATTCTTCTCCCGTGTATTTAGCAGGAGCCATACGTTTCGTTGTTATTCTTCCTTTCGGCAAAGAGAGCGGAACAGTGTAATAATTTCTCGATGAGTTCCTAACCAGCGTTGGTTGGTGGCTAGAGGAAAAGTGGGGGACAAAGTTTGATTAGAATTTGGCAGAGTTATTATTATTCGGATGGGAATTGGGATGGATGAGAGTGAGGAGTGAGGTATGATTCTTCTGGAGTTGATGGAAATGTCATGTACACCCAGCGACGTCAAGTCATCTTCTTGGGTGAGTGGATTACATCCATTCGTGGCTGTGGTGCTTTGTAGTGGTTGCGTGGCGGTGATGTGAAAGTCATTAGAGAAACAATGGACGGATGGATGACTTTCACTTCACTGGAACATGGCGAGAGCTTTCTTTCTCTCTCGCATGGGCTGGATTTCGTCATGTGGTGGAGTTCAGCGGAAATTAAATGCGGATTTTGTCATTATGTGATTTAAATGATGAGGATGAAATTAATTTTTTAAATTAACAATATATTCAAAAATAGAAATGTAGTCAAACACCGGATGAATACTTTGTTAATTTAATTATTTAAAAAATGCGTATAGTTTTTAGCGTTTAGCAAAAAAAACTGTAAAGTTTCGCACAAAATCGCGAATTTTTCTTTCGTCGGTTCCTCGTGCCACTCATTTCCTCCTCTCTTTCTCGGTTCTTTGCTTCTTCTTTTTTTTCCTGAGGAGCATGGTCGCATTCTCTTTTCTCTATTTTTTGTAGACAATAAGAACGAAAGACATCGACACCTTCTTGCCCAGTTTCCGTGTGATGAACTCACACAAACTCATCTATCTCCTCTATTTGCCATGTGATCAATAATGAAATCGGAAAAACAGTTCGTTATCTCCATTGTCCGATTTATCCCTCCATAATTTCACCCATTTCGCGCAAGTAATAATAATCCCGACTCGTAGATAGAAAGGGATGTTATGCCGATGAAACTACTACACAGACAAACCGAAGCAAAGGATAAAGGATTCTTGGAAATGTGAGGAGTTGTTGTTCTGACATGTAGAAAAATTTCGGACAATGTTCTTCCTCATCATCCTCACCCACCAAGAAAGAAAAATGTGTTTACATTAATCTCACCGAATAGCTGTAGAAATTTTAGTGAGCAAAGTATGCCATCCATTTGTAATTTGAGAAATTTCCAATTCATTCCTGACAAAAATGTGGAGTGCAAACATGAGCAATTTCACCGGATTTTTGCACATACCACACAGAGCCATACGTACATACGCCTCTTTGCGAGGAGTGAGTTTGGTTGGGTTGGGAACAAGTTGAACGTTCCATTCCGCGTTTCCTTCTTTGAACAAGAGGCTGTTGGCTTAGGACCGAAACTCGAACTCACCCAACTCGGGTTGCTGCCGGGTTGATTGACCAAAACTCCGAAAGTGGGAGAGAAAGTTACTCCTCGCTCTCGCTCACTCGCTCTCAGCCAGATTTGCACACAGGGAAAGGACGACTTCCGTATTAGGGGATCGGCACACTGCTCCTGCTGCTGGTTCACTCTGCCACCACGACACGCGGCGTGTTGTCAGCCAAAGTTGGGAAGAACGATGAAATTGGAGGCGGCTTTCTCCTCACTGCTTTACTTTTACTTTCACCAAAAAAACAAATAATATTCTCTCCGCCTACTTTAATCGCTGGATATGGACAAACGAACTGGGATATGCCACAATATTTTTGGCAAATAATACACATATTGCGAGTTGGCATACTTAAATTCACTTAATAATGCAGTTAAATCTCAAAGCTACTCAATCTTTATTTTGTTAAACAAAAAAACATTTTTCCATTTAATTATTTTACGGCAGCAAAGTCTTACTTTTTATAAAAAAAACATTCAAATTTTGTCTGTCTCAAATGATTTAAGCATGTCTACTTGTCGTTTGATTTGCACTGGTGCATAGTCAAGTTTAACTCATACCTAATAATAATACCTGACCCTAATTAGCCCGACTAAACACGGCGAAATTGATTTAATTTGTATGCACAAACAACGAGATTGATAACAATTCCTATTATTCAATTCTCGTCAAAAATTGCACTAAAGTCATTATTATCACATACACACACACACACACACACCGAGTTTGTAGCATTGTTAACTTGAGCTAGGCAAAGTTAAGTAAAGGATCGAGTAATAGTCCTGTTACAACTATTCTTCGTCTCCTAACTAATAATATGCATCCCAGCCAACCGCACACACCAACTCCAACTTAACTTAACTCAACTTACTCCTACTTGGTAACTAATAACCCGTGGTGGAATAGCATAGCGTTGTATTCTGCCAAACCAACTAGCAACTCGCTGCTGCTGCTGCTGCTGCTGCGATGGGTTGAGTGTGTTCAGTCCAAAAGTGTGTCAGTAGGAAATGTTCTGAGCAAGTGTGCGGACGATTTTCTTTGCTCTTCTCACTCGTGTTAAAGCTTGCAAATTCATTACAGACGAGATCTCGTAGTGCAAATATTTTTCGAAATTATTTTTTTTTGCAAAAAAAAGCCATTTTGATCTCTACTACTCGTAGAGGTAGTACCATTTGAAAAATAATTTTGCCCCGTACAAACAAAATAATATAACAATTGCAAAAATTAAACTGAGGTGATCGATCCATGGATCGATAAACGTTAAATACTTACAATAATTAATTGATTGAATAAATCAGTTTATTAATGCTTGTTAAAAAGAGTGAAGGTGTGAGATGGTGAAGTCTCGAGCTTTTCTGTAACGGAGGATTTAACTATAATAACTTAACGTGTCAGTGTGCTGGGTTATTAACCGAGGAAGAAAAAAATGAGAATAATTACCTCATGGATTTCGTATGAAAAAGTGACTTGTAAATAAAGTGCAAAGTACAATACACGGATTTTTGGGGGATTTCGTACTAATTATTTTCCGCTAAATTTTCCACAAACTCAAACACTTATCCAAGATGGATATGTGGGATAAGATTTGGGCTTCTCAAACCAAAAACGTGACGGATTTACCGTCTCCATCCTCATCCCCGGCCCCCTCGCCAGGCTCGATTAAAGGTATTATCTACACATTCGTATTTCATTAGTGAAATCTTCCTTCGCGAAAATGTGGAAACGGCGTCATAATAATAATTAAATTACAATTAGCCGCACACATGGCAAAACTAAATAGAAATTGCATACAACTGTGGAGCAAAATGCATTTAAATAATAATGATAATAATAGCGTAACATTCGTGGCATAAAATATTTTTAAAAAAACTAGTACCACACATAACAGTATAACGTAATATTTAATAATGTGAAAGTCACTTGAGTGAGTGTATATTATATCAAAAAAATGAGAAACAGTAAGCATAGCAGGTTCGTGTGATGGGTAGAGATTGTTGCATTGCCAAGTAGTAGTAAATATATGTACGAGACGAGACGAGTTGTACAAACGCACAGCTAACTAACGAAGGAGCAGGATTGCATGATTTTTGTAGTGAACGGCGAACATAATAATATGCAATGTGATGAGATGGGATGCAATGCAATGGGTTGCAATTTGTGTAATAGTAATGGCCAAAAAGTCGCTTTCACCAGGAGGAACATTCACTCATTTTGGCAACGTCACTCACTCACATATTTGCAAATATGTATATCTGGAATATGCATATCCATGAGAGTCCCATATTTCTCGTAAACTAATACTTATGAATGTTGCAAATTGTGACCAAGATAGAAACGTATTTAGCAATCCGAGACTCGTGTCTTGTTTACAAGTGCTATTGAGACTTTGCTAAAATAAAAATGGTTTACATACTTTGTTTTTGCAGAAAAAAAGTGTTAGATTGTTACAAATCTTATTCTTCAGTAATTATTATGCTACTAGGCGGTCTGGTAACGAATGTATGTGTTGTGTAAACTATCATTAAAACTTTAAAGTGCAGAATATAATAATATTCATTTCTTATGCATAAATAATTGCGTAGAAAAAAAATATTGTTTGCTTGGTCCATCTCAACCCTGTGGATGAGTCAGGCCAAGAGCTGTCGAGATTATACAGAACATAACGTTGTTGTAAATTTACAGTTACTTTTGTCAAGTTGCATTTATGCATGGGTTTGCCGTCTCCTTCTGCTGAATACCTTTTCATAAACCCTGTCCGATTTTGGGGTTTACTTTACTACTCAAATTCCCATATGCATGGACTGCCCTTTATTGCACTAGGTTTTATTATTATGGTGACGACGAGAAGTATGAATTCTGAATTTTATTTGTTACATGATAGTCCTCTCATCCTTCATGAATCGATTTAAAAGATGGCTGAAATTACATAAAGTATGCAATTTTGAACGTTACCAATTACGAAGGGATTGCGCTATTGAGAGTTAGATACATACATGCAGGACATGGTGATAAAAAATATCGAGATGCACTATAAAAATGAAACTTGATACTCGTTAATGGTGTAAAGTTATGCAATCCTTTATCCTCTCGTTCACACTCTACGGATGGAAAGGAAAGGGAATTAAGGATGTAAAAATAATATAAAGTTCAAACTGCACTTGGATCTTGGTTGTTAGTGATGACCAATGAATAGAAATCTATGAAAGTACTTATGTACATATGACAAAGAAGAAGAAGAAGATACATCAATTTTCAAATTATTGATTGATCGATTATGCCGACTCTTTCGAAAAAAGTTGGCACGAGAAGAGTCGTGCTGATATCATTACTCGCTGTTTTTTGTACAGGACAAAAAGTTAGCAAAAATTTCAAACTTTCATTGTGGTGACGAGTGAGTGAGTGGGTGATTGATGGCATTTAATTGTGACATGAGTGCAAATTGGACAAAAAATGTTATAGAATTGATGACCAAATCAAACATTAAAACCACAAAGAGCTAGTTGTGTACCCTTTAACCTTTGATAGTAAATAGATGCATCGTTCACCATGAAGTAATCCCAATTTAAGTGGCTTGTTCCTAATGAGTTGTCCGATTTCTACTGCGATTATAAATTTTTTAGAATGCATTTTTCAAACAAATATCTACACCTTGCCAAAATATAATGCATTTCGCCGTGTTAGTTATCTTCCTCTCGGTACTTGACCATGTGGCATTCTAGTATAAGTGCACTGTTAAACTACATTTTTATCACTGGCCTAGTGTTACACATGCCATAAAAGTGTTAAATTTAGCAACTGCAACAACTGCATCGCATCATTCATAGTACTCAACACCAACAGAATCACTTTTAGTATTTGCCATTCCCTGAATATGAATAGCAACCAAGCAATTATTTTATTACTCGGCTGGCTGTTTGGTAGCATTGCCCTACTCAACTTCATCCAACAATCAGTGATGTTGCATGTGCTTACTTGCTTATTAAATATGAGAGAGAGAGAAGGACGTTAACCTTCTCTCGTGCAATACGTATTAATATGCAGTGTGTAAAACTGCGAGTAATTTCGCTCATTACAAGTGGGTGATTTAATATGCGATAAAGTCAATGTTTTCATATTTAGCGAATTTTTGATGAGTATGGGGTGACCACAATTCGTAGTTTGGGTTATAATTGGTATTAATTGGCTATCAAAATTTGTGTGCAAATTATTTTCAAATGATACGTGAATACCTATTGTATTGCGTGAATAGGTATATTAGTCAGTTGCACATTGTATTGCATGAGTAGGTACGACGAGTACAACACCCCGCAATACAATTATTTTGCATTATTGTTCCGCTAATAATAATTCCTTGACCGAGACCAAGACATTCACAGCAGCACCGAACTTAAATTCATACTTTACATGGGTTCAAAGGTTCAATTCACGGAAATAGATTTTTTTAACGTAAACGTGGTCGTTGGCGGCTGGGCCTTTATTCTCAGAAGCCTAATGCCTAATAAGACATAACATTTTGCAACAACTCATTACCGTATTTGTATGTACACTGTTTATACATTCATTGGCTTGTACGTAGAAAAAAAATGTATAACGTTTCACGGATGGTCAGCCATTATATTTTTTGGAATGCAAAAATCCACTACTGTCTCATGTCGTTTGGCGTAATTTTGTGTCGGTCGGTGTAACCAGAAAACGGCACGTTCCGAGCATAACAGTTAAATGTCGTCTTTGCAATAAAGCAAGATCGACGACCGATGATGCGATTTAACGTGAGTGTAACGAAATTGAATGAAAACAATGACATAATATACGTAATGTGGTACAGTGCAGTTACTTCTGGCTGGCTGAGCTTGCACAAATTCATTCTGATTAGTTGGATTGTGATGATTTGCAAAAAAATGCAATAATGCATCAACCTGCCATTGGTTTGGATAACTAGACCAATTTCAACCTTTGCGTTATTGCAAAATTATATGAGGAGTGACATTTCATAATAATTTTGGGGATTACAAATCCCACCAATCATTATCTGAATAACGTATACTTGTCATAATGCAAAGGGCATGGAGTGTGATGATAATTTGTATGTATTAGAGGGCGACAGTACCCATTCATCTGGAATTTATTTTGATGTGGGAAACGGATCAAATGTCAAAACCAAAATGTAATTTGAACCCGTCACCAAACCAACCAGTCATTATTCTCATCTCCTTTCTAACTATTTGTTAACGAGTGAACGCTAATAGTCAATAAAAATCTAGACAAATAAAAGTAATCGAGTTTGTTAATAGTGGGTGTCAATAACTCGTTATTAGAAATCATCACGTGATGATGAATTATTTTCGTAAAATTACACAACATAAATACATACACTTCTACGTAGTAAGTGTATTTATGCAACTGTAAATTCTACTCAAATATTTGAAACGTTTGTACATAAAGGTCCATTCTAAAATTTTCGTTGTCAGCCATTTCAAATTTTTATAATAAAGTCACAACTCCAATTGATAACTTGTCACAAAACTGGTAACAATGAAGTGAGGGAACGAATAAAGTGGTAGCAAAATGGGAAGGAAGAAGTGAGGAAATAAAAACAGTTAGTCGCATGTACTACCGACCGACACATTATAATTTTACGTTGAATAAAAAAATACCAGTTTTCTTATGCAGGTATTGTTTGTGATGTGATGTGGTTGGCGATGGCGATATGATAGCGAGCGAGTGATACGATGAAGGGATATAAAATTATGACTAAGGAAGTGAAAACATTTTGCAGGAAAAATTTCTCTTATTTTTGCATTCCTTGTAAGTAATGCAAAAATTCTATTTGTTTATATGCACATGCATACATACACACTTCAATTCCTGCTACTTTGTTCTTTCCATTGTAAAAGTGAGATTACTGACCATGCCTTATAAAGTCAGATGTGGAAGTGATGTCAGAGTGCGAGTTGTTTAACAATAATTACAATAAATTAATCGAATTCTACATTATTATGCAAGATTTAGAGATATAAAGTAAATTGTGAGAATAATACATAATGTATTTAATAGATTTGCAGCGTAAGAAATCGATTGATTTGTACCATTTAAAAAAATTATGAGTGTATTGAACTCTCAAATTCCAAAACAATATTTAAGTATTGCCAACACACAGAATTTTTATTATTTCAAGCTGATACTTGTATAATGCATGCATATATAAATAAATCGCCATAAAATACAAGTTCGCTTTAACAATTATAATTTGTTATAGTTCAAATTAAATTCATGAGATTATTTTTATTTCATACGTGAAATTATAACAAACTCTTCTAAATAAATAGGAGTTAACGAACTGAGGGGTGGTGAATTGTAGTAATGTAACATTGCGCAGGTATGGAATAAGCATAATAATGAACTTTTTCTCAAGGCCCATCACAGGTCAGGTTACTGACATCCAATTCCCAACGAACTCTTCTAGTCAAAGAGGAACGCAAAATTACGTGAAACCTTCCAGGCAGCATAGCAGCAGATACCTGTGAAATGCAAGCCAATTATCCGTCACGTCATCAAACATGGAGTGAATACTGTATTTACCGAGGAGACTTTTACAGGTGATGGATGGAAGTTTAAGGCCCGAGAGACTTTCAAGGGTCAGATCATCAGGTGCCTTTATGTGGTTC